GTGTTGGGTTGACGGTTGGACTTGATGATCTTAGAGGTCTTTTCCAACCTTGATGATTCTATGATTCTATATGGGTTAGTTGGGTTAGTTCTGCAGCCGTAGAGAAACAAATGGACATTAAATTCTGAGAGATGTGTCTATCCATCAAGATACCTTCTCCTTCACACTCATCTCCTCTTCCTTTTCATCTCTCTCTTTGTATCTCATTGCCCTTGCTCTTTTCAATTGTTCTCTTTCTCCTTGCCTTTTTTCTTTTTTTTTTCCTTTTTTTTCTTTTTTTTTTTTCTTTTCCCAATTCTGCTTATACAACATGCTCCATCTCTCCTCTTGCCCCCTCTGGTCATTACCCACCCCTAGGCCTTGTTGTCTGAATCACGTTCACACAGACCTTACCGTAAACCCCTTTCCTGCAGGGGCCAGCCTTTAGGAGGACACACAGATACGTCTGTCATATTATTGACGATATTTCCCTCTATCCCTGTTTCTATTCAGCACAGCCACTGAGATACAGCTACTTTGATGCTGATGGTAGCCAGCGAGTATCTATGGCTTATAGACGGCCTCATCCAGATGGTGTAGGACCAGACACAGCTGCAGTGGGAATGGGTGTTCGTGCGCATCTATGGCTTGGTGCACACACACCACATACACGGGAGCGCAAAGCCAAGCGACGGAACCGCCACGGGGAATGCCCGCAGCAATCCAAACGGTGCCAGACTTCTCCAAAAAAACCCCCACGTGGCTTAGGGCTTACAGGAAAGATGTCTCATCGCCCGCGTATTCTCAGCTGCTCTCAGAGGGAGCTGTGCACCAGCCTGCAGCTGTTTGATGATACGGACCAGCCAAGGGGACGAGGCTTAAGCGGTGTTCAAAACTAAAGCTCATGGCAATTCTGGTGCCGCTGCGTCCCGAGAAAAAGCAATCAGTGGCACTAATCTTTACAGCCATGTTCACTCAGACGGAGTCTACCCATCCCTGTGCAGCCGGAGATCAATATGACAGATCACTGCCTTTGGGGTCTCCCTACAGTCCACACAGCACACAAACTTTTCTTGCTTCTTTCCTGCTCCTTACATGGATTCCTGGATGTCCTTTCCCTTCTGCTGGAGGATTCTACTTGTAATCCTCCAAGGAGCCCTTTTCCCTGCATTGGCTAGCATTTATTTTGATAAGTATAGCACAGCTAAAGGCCTGCTCTTGACCCCATTAGCACCAGTAACTGCGCACCAGCTGACTCTCCCTGCGGAGCAGGATTAGACCTGACGAGAGTGCTCTGTAAGAACAAGCACCCCAGCTCCAAGCCTCTCTGGAAGTCCTACTCAGGAGAGTTGAGTGCACCATTTCTCTCCAAGCTACTAAATCTCTGTGGCCTCATGACGCCAGACACTCCTGTCTTAGCAAGCTCACGCAGCTCCTGTCTGAGCTATACAAACGGTCTCTGCTCAGGGGTGATGGCACTGCTGCTCTCACATCTGTGCTTTTTCACCTTCAAAGTGCCGCACAAAGCAAAACGACCAGGGCACTGTGTGTTGTAACTCAGAAAGGAAATAATAGCCAGTCACTGCGACAGAAATATCCTTCTTAATCCTGCAGCCGTTCGGCTTCCCCGCTGGCCACAAATCCACCCACTCTCTCACCCAATGGCAGATGCCCACGCGATCTCCCCCCCACCTCCAGCAGAAATCAGTAGGAGCAGGCCAAAAACCTGCTTTCGTTTCTTGAGTCACCATTTGAGCAGAGGTTTCGTTATTTTTTCCATCCTCCTCCAGCTCCTGTTGCAACGCATTAACGTTAACATGCAAATCACCGATGGCACCAGGGAGCGAGGGCTGGATTGACCTGCTGCATGACCTTGGGGAAATTGCTTATTTTCCCTGTGCCTTGGCTCCCCTCCCATTTCATCTTCATATCAGGACAGGGATGGTCTCGCAAATAATTATGTGCACAGTGTATATACGACAATGTATTTGCTGGAGTATATGACAAATCATGCATGAAAATTAATAACAAATTACAATTTTTCATTCCGTTTAGGCTGCTGGGGATTGAAAGACACAAATTGCCATCAAAAATAAATACTGGTAAATACAAAAATACAAAATGGTATTCATCATAATAATTATTACCATTGAAGATGGCATAGCTGAGCTAACCTTCAAACCTCATTTGGGCCACAGATCTAAGGCAAAACCAAACGTGGTCTTCTTTCCGTATTTAACAGGAAAAATACACTACATCCTATCCTATCCTGTCTCTCCCCCTCCAAAGAACATGCAAAACTCTCAAGGAGCAAAGACTTTTCCCTTTAGACGAAATTGATCCTTTCTAAACTAATTCAATTTCGGTTGCTTTTGTTTCCCGGTATCAAGCAAATGTCATTATTCCACCAAAAATCTTTAGAAATTAAAGAAAATGCTTTCAAAGCTTAAATCTGAAGGGAAAAAAAAAGTAATGGGGAAAACCCATTCTTAGGAAACACTAAGAGTGCAAAGAATGATTGACTTGCAGTAATTAGCGCTAAGACCAACTGACTTTCTGTGGAGTGGTCACCTTCAATACTAGTTGCAATGAATACACAGAACTATTTTTCCCTTGGTCTCAAACTGGTCTAGAACTCTGTGAACTAATTTGCACTTCTTTAGTCCCCCTTACTGCCTTCAACCTCTGTCCTCACTTGAGCTTTAAAATGTATTTTCCATAAACACTTGCAAAGCTGCAAGCAGAGAAGCTGCATGAATGGTTAGAAGATGCAGATGCGAGCCTTGGGCTTGAGCCAAAGTACGCTGAAGTCAGTGGAAATTTCCACTGAAGTCAATTGATGGACAATCAGAGTCTTCTGCTAATTTGGGGAAGGACCGTTTCAATGTTCAGAGGGGGATGCTGGGATTCAAGTTCATCTCTGGACAATCCAGCAGTAACATTCGCTACGTTAACTAAG